ATAGATTTATCAGATTTATAACGGAAGATCACAAATAATAAGCGTCACCTTTAACCAGTCAGGATGAGAAAATTTGGCCCTTTTTATGGCGTAAAAGATACGCGTGGATAGACGAAAGCGACTCCGCTATGTTTTGACCACAGCAATATTTTTTGAATAAGGGAAAGCACATATTTTAATAAGCAGGGAACAACTGATCGGAGACTTAACAGTCAGTTTGTTTGCTAATTTGCATGGTTATTGTTTGTTGAAACAAAGGCACTGTAGGGAGTTGTGTTTGTTTTTAAGAACTTTTGAAACATTATTAACGGAGACCTGTAAACCGAGGCGATGCATATGCAAATAAATGATTTGACGAGTGCTGAGTCGGTAGTATTTAAAACTTATTTCTCTCACCGAGTTGTTGTGCAGTTTAGGATCAGAGGGACTTAAATCGATTGGTTTGTGTTTACCCCGAAAACAAAAATTCTCAAACACTATAGATTTTTCCAGGAATTTCATCAATCCATTGATTTACGCAATTTGCTTTCCTAAAGCAGCATTGAAAAAAAAAATTATAAACAACGCCTTTAACTGAACAATCAGATCAGTTGTCTTACGAAATCTGCTAAAGGAAAACCTAAGCTTCATTATGATCGTTGATCGCCGAACAAACAGCTCACAAGAGTCTAGTAATCTGAACTATAGTCGGTGTCCGCGGGTATTGATATGGAAACCAGCTTGTTAAACTTTCAAGACTTAGTCTACCTCAGCGACCGCCATACGATTCGTTGAAAAGTTGTTTTGCAGTTAACCGTAACGATTAACTGCAAATCGATCGTAGCGATCCTATATGAGGAATGAGTCTTTATCAGACAGAACGTATCTTTTCCAGTGCGAGAACATCTTAAATTGTTTCAATTAAGCGGCAGGCTAGCAAGAAGATTATTTTGTATTCCTTGATACTTCGTAGTCCCCCATTTCATCTCATTCAATTGCAAATTACTGAATGCACAATTCTCAAACAAAGAAAAAGAAACTATCCAATCAGTTTGATCTGATTTGATGACGTTACTCTTTCCTGATTGGCTGACACCTCCGCTATTATTCTTTCTCTATATATTTGTGACACCACCCGGATGGTTTGGGCGGATCCGTAAACCACTGCACAGTAAACCTCTCAATACTTCATCCATACTCAATCAACTAGTCCGTTACAAACCCCAATATTGAACCCTTGAATGCTAATGAAGCCTTCTCACAGCCTGGCTAGCTAGTTGTGATTACCCTCTTTAACTCAGAGCTGCTGAATGTGAAGCAAGTAAAGCCATTCATCTGTTATAATATTGTACTGTCAGTGTAATACCAGGTCATTTGTGAAAAGTAAACTAGTTTTAACCTTGTGCGACAGCTAAGCGAATGAACTAGAGGATAAAGCACTCAAAAAGAAATCGCCAAGGCAGTTAATACATCGTGTGTTTATGAATTTAAAAATGTATCACGCGGATGGTACTTACAGTCTAAATCTTTTGCATTTCTACATGACAGGTAGTAAGGGATATTCAAATTAGAGTTGCTTGCAATAGAAATCAATAGCAAAGTGCATCCTTCATAAATCAGAAAACACACTTAACCAAGTAAGTGTTACAACAATTCAGTCAAGACCGGCAGTCTTCTAAGTTTTCAATCATTTGCCCCAAAGCATGTAGCTACAGGAGAAGCTGTAAAGGTAGTCCCTGTCGATTCTAAATTGAACAAAAATGTCCGACTAACAAATGTGACATTTAATCCTTAAACCGCAAGGAATGTATTTTACTGGGTTTCTAAAGAATGTATATTTAGCCTTTTTCAACAGAACTTTTGAGAAAAGCTGAGAAAAAAAAAAAAAACAAACAAATGACCTGTAATTTCTACTTTCTTTGCGGTTGATTTGCCTGTCCCGCTTCCTTAAACCAAATGATAAGAAGTTATATGAAAAGCATTTAATTACAATAGATCACAAGCATAATTTATATATTAATTTCCGTTTGGTAAGGATCACCTATTTTCACAACGCGACCGTTATCAATAAATCTGCCTTCCTGGTTCAGCCTCTCATTTTCAACCTCATTTCACTACGCTTTCAGACTCATTTATCAAGTCGCGTTTATACAACCTCAAGAATAATACTATTATAACGATTAGCTCAAACTATAATGCTTTTTGACAAATATGTTTGGTTATAATATTTGGCACACTTTATTTTTACCGACTGAGGTATTTTGACCTTGGCTGCGCGAGCCGAATTGTCCAACAAAGTTCAGTATAATGGATCATTTCTACTTCAAGGGTGGTCACCCCTTGTGCCACATGGCACTTAAGGCCTCCACACGGAGTTTCCACACCTATCTGGCTCTCTGTCAACTGCTACTGCTTTGCACCTCATCACAAAAGCCTCAGCGTGCTCTCTCTCGTTTCTGTTTCCATTCTCTTCTTTCCTAAAATAATCTCTCGATGTATTTTCCGCATGCTCCTATACATGCGCACGTTTGCGTAGCAGGCGCCCAAAAGATTTTGGAAACCAAACAAGAACCGACCGCGAAGTAAGAGGACGCGCGCGTTCTTGTCTGTCCACCCTCCTCTTACGCCCCATATGAGGAGATCTACAAGGAAAGTCATAGAAAGTTAGTTTCACTGAGGCTCGACGAATAAAACCTTACTCGAGAACTGTCGAGGGCATCGTGTGCAAAACAGGAAAACGACAATGTTTATTCTACACCAGGGCTACAACAAGCGATCAATTATTGCTCGACAAAATAAGTAGAGCTCTTAGTTTATAACTAAGGAATTTGCCCTTTGCAGGCAGCCAGATATCGCGGATATCTACCGCGTATTTTGCACAAAAAGCAGGAAATACAAGAATAAAGTAATGCCTGACATAACGTTGAAAGGTAAAGACAGTCATGACTGCACGAAGTCTTATTATTTAATCGGGTATTCAATCCGTGTTCAATCGCCAAAGGTCGTTGACATGAAATAGAAAGCTTAGTTTAAAGCTAAGCTTATTGATGCTTGCAGATGGCAAGTGACGGAACATACTTGGAAACGTATAAAAATATAAAAACCAGACGCTGAAGTTTAACCTGACTTAACTTTGAAATATTTACATGGATTTCTAGACTTTGCCAACACTCGTATCTTACCGAAGACTCCGTTTCGCATTAAGCTGAGATCAGCTAATTTCTTTCCTTGGTAAACAGATTTCCTGCAGGCAGGGCGAGTGGAAAAGTCTCGCATTTAGCACAGTTCGTGAAACAGTGCGAGTGTATCTGAATTACGTGTGTTTTCGATTCGATCAAATATTGTTGCATCACTTGCATGTGCATTCACGCTATTACAGTGATATCAGGTGAAACACTAGGGCATTCGTGGCCACATCCCATGCATATCAGTACGTAGAACAAAGGCATCCCAAGAATGTGGACAGATTGTGGGAAAACCTCGCTATACAGTTTATAAATTGCTGCTGACCACCCCACCTAGAATACGTCTGCTAGCTCGCTTTTGTTCGCCCGCATCCGCAATGATAAGAAGACTTCTGTTGGAGGGTATGTGTAAGAGGTACCAGTTTTTAATGGAAGGTATATAAAATGCCCACCTTCTCTATCAAAAATGGTATATTAAAGGCTAAACTAAGGGGGTGGGTCTCTGGGTGGAGCCTCCTCCCAATTCACCTCAAGAATCAGGCCAGAGAAGAAGGTTTTTTTTCCTCTCATCCCCTTGGTACAATTAAGTCTAGTGAAAATAGAAGATGGATATCAAATCTAGAAATAATAACGACAAGGAATTCGTACCAAAATATTACGTATTTATTAATTAATAAACAACAACTTTTTTTGAATTGCCATTTACATAGATTGAATTGCATAGAAGAAAAATAGAGGATGATAATAGAAAAATACAGCAATGAATTACAAAATATATAATAATTAATAATCAGTTACAACATCCTAACTCTTGTTTCGTTTCCTTGAAAGATTCGAAAACAAAATAACCGATTTTTTTACAAATAAAATTATCTACGTTATTAAAAAGGAATAATATTTTATCTTCTTCATTCAGAGTATAAAAGATGGGATATTTCGAGATTATATCATTTAAAAACGTTTTCCTTATACACAAATAAGAATCACAGTGAAGAAGAAAAAATCTTAAAATAAAAAATCGGTTGTTATTATTAAAACGGCGCAATGGTGGACAGCGTAACGAGGATTATATTCTTAAATTATTATTTTTTCTTTTAATGAATTAATTTTAGCACCTGCCTTTTTAAAGTTGAATTTATGTAAATAAAATATATATTGTTTATGGTAATCAGAAGCCCATCTGAGCTTCTGCGGTAACAAAGACCCTCGCGCAGACTCCTCGATAAAATAAAATGCCCATCAATAAAAGCTGTTTGCATTTCTGATAGATGTATCGATTGAAAACAATTTTTGACAGTTATTTTGAAAGTTATGGAAGTTCTGAAAGTTAAGAAAAAGGAAATCAAACAATCGCAAAACATCAGCACTGAAAAAGAGGTCAGAGGGGATTCCGCGTCGGTCATCCATCCAAAACTAACAACCGCGTCCGACAGGGCTTACCTTTGTGGAAGGGACGCGTTTCAACATACAGCAGTAGCTTTTATTGAGCTACTGATAAACAACAACTCGAAATGCTATTATACAACGTGATTATACCGTTACTGAAACTAACAGTAACATAGTTTAGAACTCATCGAAAAACGTACTAAATTACATTTATACTGAACCGTTTCGTATCGTTTTAAGATGTAATCAAGTAAGTAGGACCGAGGCGACTACATTCAAACGACACGAAACGATCTGGTTAACAAGTACGGCTTATCACACAGTCGCTTTGCTCGGGGCACGTTTCTCGGGATTTCGCTTATTTGAAAGCCTTATCTCAAAGTACACGTTTGGAGTTTGCTGTGAGGGCCTTGGGAAGACAAACCCCAGCGTCGCCTATACTGCTGGCACTCAAAAGGAGAGATTCTTGAGGGAGGAGTTTGCTGTGAGGGCTTGAGAAAGAGAAGAAGCACCGGCGTAGCCAATACGGTTATAACGTAAATGCAAGCTAGTAAGGGAGGTGTTTGTTGTGAGGGCTTGAGAAAGAGAAGAAGCACCGGCGTCGCCAATACTGTTACTACTTAAATACAAGCTAGTAAGGGAGGTGTTTGTTGTTAGGGCTTGAGAAAGAGAAGAAGCACCGGCGTCGCCAATACTGTTACTACTTTAATCATAACTATAACAAAATTCTCAAATCTGATTGGTTCTCAACTGCCCTGATTTCAGCCTTAATAGGACAGTTTAATAGGACAGTACGCGTCATGCCTAAGTAATTGGACAGTACGCGCCATCACGCGCGCGCTTAAATGGCTTTTTTTTTTCATTGCTAGCGAAAAAATCTTGGAATTTCTTGTGTTTTGATTTAAAAAGAGCCCTATATTTCACAAATTTTGTTAAAGTTATGATTAATTGGTAACAGAACTTCGTGTCGTCCAATTCGGTCTGTAATCATACTCGTGATTAAACAAATCGGACTCCCGCTACGCGGTCGTCCGATTTTGTTAATCACTCGTATGATTACAGACCGAATTGGACTCCACTCAGTCCTGTTACCATTACAAATACAAGATAGTAAGGGAGGTGTTTGTTGTTAGGGCTTGCGAAAGAGAAAAAGCACCGGCCTCGCCAATACTGTTATAATCCAAATACAAGCTAGTAAGGGAGGTGTTTGTTGTTAGGGCTTGAGAAAGAGAAGAAGCACCGGCCTCGCCAATACTGTTATAATGCAAATACAAGCTAGTAAGGGAGGTGTTTGTTGTTAGGGCTTGAGAAAGAGAAGAAGCACCGGCCTCGCCAATACTGTTACCACTTAAATACAAGCTAGTAAGGGAGGTGTTTGTTGTGAGGGCTTGAGAAAGAGAAGAAGCACCGGCGTCGCCAATACTGTTATCACCTAAATACAAGCTAGTAAGGGAGGTGTTTGTTGTTAGGGCTTGAGAAAGAGAAGAAGCACCGGCGTCGCCAATACTGTTACCACTTAAATACAAGCTAGTAAGGGAGGTGTTTGTTGTGAGGGCTTGAGAAAGAGAAGAAGCACCGGCGTCGCCAATACTGTTACCACTTAAATACAAGCTAGTAAGGGAGGTGTTTGTTGTTAGGGCTTGAGAAAGAGAAGAAGCACCGGCCTCGCCAATACAGTTATAATCCAAATACAAGCTAGTAAGAGAGGTGTTTGTTGTTAGGGCTTGAGAAAGAGAAGAAGCACCGGCGTCGCCAATACTGTTACCACCTAAATACAAGCTAGTAAGGGAGGTGTTTGTTGTTAGGGCTTGAGAAAGAGAAGAAGCACCGGCCTCGCCAATACTGTTACTACTTAAATACAAGCTAGTAAGGGAGGTGTTTGTTGTTAGGGCTTGAGAAAGAGAAGAAGCACCGGCCTCGCCAAAACTGTTACTACTTAAATACAAGCTAGTAAGGGAGGTGTTTGTTGTTAGGGCTTGAGAAAGAGAAGAAGCACCGGTGTCGCCAATACGGTTACCATCTAAATCCAAACTAGTCAGGGAGGAGTTTACTGTCAGGGCCATGGAAATCGCAGCAGCACCAGCATCGTGTGTGCCTGTGTAGCCAAAATTCACTTCAGTCAGGGACGACATGTCAAGGTGCTTACCTAAACTAGAAACTAAGCGAGTTTCAAGGCTGTCCTGGACACTTGAACATTCCAACAAACACTCACAAGCTAAACTCATATATGATTTACGGTCTTCGGCAGAGCTGATTTTTTTAGCAATAACAGTAAAGAACGACATTGCAGTTTCCTCACTCCGTGAGGCTATGATGCCACTCATGAACAAAAAGACCTGTCTCAGTTTATCTAAGTATCTCTTATCATCTACAACTGAGGTTAAGTCTCTTTCTTTGCTGATAACCTGAAACGCAAGGAAAAGGCCAGCAAAAAACTCCTGAAAGCTTTTGTGTAAAAATGCACAGCGCGCGGAAGGTTTGCGCTTGGCGGCACCTTGTTGAAAAGACAAGAATCCAAAATTGATACCCTTGACGGTATCTTCCTTCTTTTCAAAGAACAACTCTCCTTTAAGCAGGGATTCTAACGCGAACCTGCCCAAAAGCAAAAGTTCTTTCTTATAACCTGAAATCAAGTCCTCATCGCTGCTTTTAAGTCCGTTTTTTACTTCGTATCTTCTCAAAACAAAGGCAACTATTTCAACGTACAACTCAGTCCTGCTTGTTGGAAGAACACCTTCGAAATCCTCGAAAAGACAACAGAGTAAAGCTGTATTGAGTGGATTTTTTGTTAACTCGCCTAGCGTTTTAAGTGGATGATCATAATACTCTAGAAGTTTCCATCGTTCAATCAGCTTCTCAGCCAAGTGTTCCTTGCCTTTAAAATACTTCCTGATAAAACTTTTCGCATCCTCTTTAGTAAATCCTACAATCTCCCACAGGGCGTCACAGTATGGCCTTACTTTCTTTCCAACCTCATGGCGAGATGTAATGACAATGTGACAAGCTGGGAGGAGTTTGCTCTGAACGAGCGAGTAGTACATGTCCAGTTTAAAGGAATCTGCCTCATCTAATCCATCAAGCAGTAGCAAACATTTGGCCTGATTTTCTCGGATGTATTTGAAAAAATTCTCCTTAGCCTGTTCGTCAATATCATCAGGAAGAAGTTGGTCGTCAATAGCTTCCCAGATGCCAGATTTAACATCGTTGCATCTAAGCAAGAGCAGCACTTCAATTGATGGAAAAGACGTGTCCCATTCATCTTGTTTATTTGCCCAGTCATACGCCAGTTTTTGTGAGTAGGTGGTTTTTCCCATGCCAGGTTCTCCTTCGATCAAAAGAATCCGTGGTTTCGGGCAACCAGGGTGGGGTCTAAAGATAGCAGTCATGTTGGTGATTTCATCATCCGTCAATGTTCCCCGCGTTTTTTCTTTGTTCACGATCTTCAGTCGGGTAAAAATCTCATTCAAGTTGAAATTAAGGTCATCACACCATGGAAATGGTACCAGCCGTCCTTCACGACGTTTGTAAAGCTGACGAATCCTTTCTATGATAGCTGGCACCCCTGAGAAATACAAGATCCAAAAAATAAGATCGATTTGGTTTTATTATACTGTCATACAAGCCGTTCACGCTCTGTATATCGTCTACGATACGCTTTTATGCTTTTGTAACGTTGCAAAACGAACGAGTTGAAGATCGATATAGACGACCTTTTTGGGATAACTATAATGATTCTCAATCCTAATTAAGAAGAAGCATGAATTATGTGAAGAAATATTTACAAAACCCAACACAGGTTTGTCTTTACGTCGTTTATGTAATTTGCACTTAATAGACCCTTCCAAGATTTTAAGAGGCTGTCTCAGTAAAAACCGCCCACTCAATTTCGCGTGAAAAATAATTTTGCCTGAAACTCTGGCGAGTGAAAGGCTTTATCGAGACTATAACTAAAATAGGTTTGCTTTGATTCACAATAATTTTCTGGCCGCGCTGGGGGGCGCCGAGTATTTTGTCCCGCCACGGCCATTTTGCACGTCTTGAAAACTGAAAATTTGGCATTTTTTTGCGGCGCTGTAAATTGTTTGATTTGCACCATCTATCAATGAGTTTTATACCTATTTATAGGTAAACATCTCTAGTTTTTCCTGAAAGTATTAGTTCTCTGCTAAATTTAGCTGGAAAGACGAAATCAAGCAAAATATGACCCCAACTAATTGCCTTGGAGCGAAATGCCAAAAATTACCCTGTTTTAAAAGCTTATTTCTGACTTTTGGGACATAGTTGAAAGCTCTAGACTAAATAGACGCAAAGATAGACCATCTGTTATTAATAATATACAAAACCCCATGTACGATTTCAGTATTTTAAAAGTTATGACCGTTTGTATCAACGCGTATGCGAGCTAATACGATATTTTCAGATTTAGCGTAACGGATCTACCATAAGCAGATTTCGTCAAAAGTACGGCTTACCTAATTCATTACTGGCACTGACTCACAAATTGAGCCATATTCCAATCCCTGAGATGCCGGACTCCATAAAATTCCAGTAAATGTGCTTTAGAAACTGCTGGTATGAGGCCATTGTTGAATCCCATGCTAACAATCCGACGCTCAAAACAGGGGAAACTGTGTCACGTTTCGAGCTAAATAGCTCGGTAAAACAACCGTTCAGAGGTGAAAGTTTGCTCGAGAATCAGAAAATCAACTAGGCAGGTCTCATTTTGGATCAGAAAATTGAGATTTCAGAGCTACAACCTCGAATAAACCTTCTATTCAACCGGCTCTGCAAGGTCAAATGCAGGTTGACTCGTAAACCGGAAATGTTGAAACCCGGAAATAGGGAAAACCGGAAATGCGGAAATCCGGATCATCCGGAAATCGGCAAATATGAAATCAATTAGAAGCCGAAGGCAATTCCAACAATTAGAGACAACTGCATTCGTTTAGGGCTTCTTTTCGACGTTGAGACACGTAAAAGATAAAACCTTCCAAACCGGCGTAGCTGTTTGATTTTCACTGAACTGAAACGCAGTTCCCAGAAACAGTAAATATCATTAACCGTTTACAAGTATTCTTTTTGGGCTAACATATCACACTTGTGGCTAATACTTAACAGAAGTTGGCTATATATCGAAACTGAATGTGTCGAGATCTAGGAAACCGAGCCAGCTTGGTTGTCTGGGCTTATTAGAGGGTCCTTGAAAATCACTTGTTATGAGCGGATAAATAGTCCCGGCCGGTGAGTAAGTTTATAAGAAACCGATCAGGGAGGGGAAGGCTTGAGTGAATGGGAGAAAGCCTTCTTCAGATTTTACTGATCCTCGTCCTGAATCTTCTCCAGTCCCTTTGACTATTTTTACAACAGGAACTAGATTTTCCTCCTCCGTCTCCTCCCAAACTTTACGTAATTCATTACTGGCACTGACTAAAAAATAGACCAATATTTCATTCAAAATTCTAGTCAGTGCGCTTTTGCAACAGCTGCTATGCGGCCATATTTGAATCCCATGCTGAAACTACCGTAAAATTCCGAAATAAGCCCCTCCATGTATAAGCTCCCCCAAACTCGTAACACAAAAAACCCTCCGTGAAATCGCCCCTCCAATATAAGCCCCCCGGGATCTTGTGCTTAGAAAAATTGCCCTCAAATACAAAGTAAAACAAACCAAAAACGGTTAATTTCCTTCCAAGCCCAATCGATTTTGAAACGCAAACTTCCCTCCGTACATAAGCTCCTACGAATATAAGCCCGTGCAAAAATAAGCCCCTCAAAAAGGGCCTTTGAAAGATATAAGAACCGGGGCTTATTTTCGGAATTTTACGGTATGTCACGTTTCGAGATAAATAACTGGGTAAGAAAGAAAATAAAACAAATGTCCGGAGGTGAGACTTGTCCGAGAATGAAAACATCAGCTAAGCAGATTTCGTTTGGGGTCTGAAAACCCAAATTTTTCGAAAAATGTAGGATTATTTTTTCGACCATTTAACGGTGTTTTGTAGCTAGTCTTAAAACAAAGTGTCTTAGCCCCTTCTTGGCCATATTGCGTCGGATTTTTGGTCTACAACAAGGGTCGCGCCTAGGACTTGCCACTAGTGTTACCATTCGGTGTTAATATTGGTCTTAAGGACTTAACATGCATACAGACTTAAATCCTTTCTTAAAGCTACTCTAGATTAAATGGGAGTTTCTTGCAACCATACACTATAATCCAAATGACTTTCCTCTACTCTCCTCACGTTATCCGTGAATCAAAAAATGACTCAGTTAAGATTGAGGCATTGGTTCAATAATTTTTGGAGAATTTCTGGATGATTCTTCGAAGGTCTTTAATGGATAAAAATTAGGTAGGATGTTAAAAATGTTGGAAAAGTTGGAAAATATTGGATTAGGGGGTTGTTAGAAATACAATATGAATAATCTGAAGAAAAATTAATACCAGAGACTCCAGCAAGGAGTGCCTCTGATCCCATTAGCGGACTAACTGCTTTATGTGCATACCTTTTCTACTCTTATTTATTTCTTTCGCAAATCACCATCATTTTCCCCGAAAAAAACAACCAGAATGCCTCCTTAACAAGCGACTTTCAAGGACCCTCTATACTAATAAGCCCAGACAACCAAGCTGGCTCGGTTTCCTAGATCTCGACACATTCAGTTTCGATATATAGCCAACTTCTGTAAAGTATTAGTCACAGGTGTGATAAGTTAGCGCACATAGAATGTTTATAACCGGTTAATGATATTTACTGTTTCTTATGGAGCCTATTTGCCAAACGCAATCGATCGTGGAACCGCGTTTCAGTTCAGTGAAAATCAAACAGCTACGCCGGTTTGGAAGGTTTTATCTTTTACCTGCCTCAACATCGAAAAGACGCCCTAAACGAATGCAGCTGTCTCTAATTGTTGGAATTACCTTCGGCTCCTGATTGATTTCAGATTTGCCGATTTCCGGATGATCCGGATTTCCGCATTTCCGGTTTTCCCTATTTCCGGGTTTCAACATTTCCGGTTTACGTGTCAACCTGCATTTGACCTTGCAGAGCCGGTTGAATAGAAGGTTTATTCGAGGTTGTAGCTCTGAAATCTCAATTTTCTGATCCAAAATGAGACTTGCCTAGTTGATTTTCTGATTCTCGAGCAAACTTTCACCTCTAAATGGTTGTTTCACCGAGCTATTTAGCTCGAAACGTGACACAGTTTCACCTGTTTTGAGCGTCGGATGGTTAGCATGGGATTAAAAAATGGCCGCATACCAGCAGTTTCTAAAGCACATTTACTGGAATTTTATGGAGTCCGGCATCTCCGGGATTGGAATATGGCTCAATTTGTGAGTCAGTGCCAGTAATGAATTAGGTAAGCCGTACTTTTGACGAAATCTGCTTGAGGTAGATCCGTTACGCTAAATCTGAAAATATCGTATTAGCTCGCATACGCGTTGATACAAACGGTCATAACTTTTAAAATACTGAAATCGTACATGGGGTTTTGTATATTATTAATAACAGATGGTCTATCTTTGCGTCTATTTAGTCTAGAGCTTTCAACTATGTCCCAAAAGTTAGAAATAAGCTTTTAAAACAGTTTAATTTTTGGCCTTTCGCTCCAAGGCAATTAGTTGGGGTCATATTTTGCTTGATTTCGTCTTTCCAGCTAAATTTAGCAGAGAACTATTACTTTCAGGAAAAACTAGAGATGTTTACCTATAAATAGGTATAAAACTCATTGATAGATGGTGCAAATCAAACATTTTACAGCGCCGCAAAAAATGCCAAATTTTCAGTTTTCAAGACGTGCAAAATGGCCGTGGCGGGACAAAATACTCGGCGCCCCCCAGCGCGGCCAGAAAATTATTGTGAATCAAAGCAACCCTATTTTAGTTATAGTCTCGATAAAGCCTTTCACTCGCCAGAGTTTCAGGCAAAATTATTTTTCACGCGAAATTGAGTGGGCGGTTTTTACTGAGACAGCCTCTTAAGTAAGCAATTATCCATCGACACTACACTACTGGAGAGCGCCTTAAAACTTACCTTGTTTAAAGGCGATATGTTCAGAGCGAGCGAAGATATTCTTCAACCGTGACAAAGTCCCGAAATCTTATACAGACTTTTGTATGGTGGGGGGCATGAACTTGCTTTCTTCCATACAAACGTCTGTAAAACTTCGCGTCTTTTTGGAGCTACATGTTGGTTAGTTTTAACCAAATCACTCTTTAACTCAGCAAGTGATTTTAAGGTCTTCTTTCCAGCCAAATGGTCCAAATCAAAACTGTTAAAATACGTGGGAAGGTCTATTTTCTATGTTAAAATGGCTTGTGGTAGGCTCATTTTTTTCCTAGACTGCCAAACAGTATTTTTCTTTGAGAAAATTAAACGCTGCTCCTTAGACACAGAGCGCCGTGGACGCCGTGTATCGCACGCGAGCCCCACTCGAAAATTAGTCACTCTCTCCAGTATCACTCTCCGTTTTCACTCTCTGTTTGATGAGTGAATGTATTCATGACAAACGCAAATCAAAGCTGTTTTGCGTCTATGGTTTTTTCTAAATAAAACGAAGCTTTATTAAAGCAGAAAACTTTACCATACCGCACAATTTTGAGCATTTTAGGGGTATTACTGTTGGTTTCTTCAAAAGCTGTACTAACATAATGCGAACCATAGACTGACTATAGACTTATAAAGTGTCACAATTTCAGTGCGTTGTTAGAGAAAGATACCTGCAAGATGCTGCTGGGTTATGGATTCGTGTTGCTGAGATAAGTGGTCAGAATACATTCCCCTTTTGGTTTGTCTTGAGATCTGGTCATCGCAAGAACCACCTGTTGAAGACAATCGTTGGTTGAGACGCGGGCCACACCACGTCATGATCTATTTCAGTTAACCTTGTCGGACTTCAAGGTCTCATGCGTACTCCACAAGACTGCAAGGTCATGTGGGTAGCTGTATGTAAAGTCTTCGCAATTTGGTCATACCTTCGCGGCTGACAGTGCCACAGAATGGTCTGTATGAAACGTCACAAACTTTTACCTTCTTCAGAATTTGGTTATTTTATATGGAATTACCCATACTGATTTGCGATCTCATCGCAAAGACTTTCCTACTGCAACGTTAATCAAAATAGCTGTAGGCCGACAACAGCATATTTGAGTTTGAGTTGGGTGGATTTACTGGCACGTTTCCTTCTTTTAATAGACTGTAATTCCGTACACAAGAATAAACTGACTTAAAGTCAACTCTGTCAGGCGCATATGCGGCGCTGTACGCGTCTCATGATGAATGTTTTGCTCATTTCGACCCATATAAGGCAATTCAGGAAAGTCTTTGATTCTGGATTCACGCTGTGGATTCTGAACTCCACATACTGGATTCCGGATTCCTTGTCAGTTGAACTTGGATTACGGATTCCAATTGCTGCGGGATTACGGATTCCTGGGGATGAGTTCCGGAATCCAAGAGTTAAATTCCACACTCCAAAGCCCAAAATTCCGGATTCCACGAGCAAAAGACTTCCTGGATTGCATTGGTGGGGCGACTCAGTAAAACCAAAGTAAAGCAAAGAGTGGAATAGGTCTTTTTTAAAGAAAGAAGAACATTTTAAAAATTGAATGTTTATATATTACCTGCATGGTTCTCAGCTAGCTTCCGCTTCCTCGCACTATCGTGGTGAGCCTCAAAGAGACCCTCCACTAAAAGAATCAGCCAAAGACATCATTAGCGATTTTTGTCTTACTCTTAGTCGATACGCAATTTATAGCTAAGGAGAGAATGTATAATCTGAATTTTTGACCAGAAACGACGCACATTTTCTTAAAGTTTGTCTAACTCTCAACTGAGGTAACGACCCCAATCGTCACAAGTGCATCTTTCTAACTCTTAGTTTCACGCCGCTTGGCAATGAAGATGGAATATCAAAACGGAAGAAAAATATTGACGAGGCTTCTGATCTCGGATCTGAGCTTCCGCACTGTTTCACTCAATACACATTCAAGAGTTCTTTTAATGACGGCAAATTCGGCCTGTTACCCCTGCGCCTAATCATCACACACCAAACTGGCAAGACTTTATACCTGAGTAATGAGGCCACGTGCGGAAAACACAAGGATCACTTAAAATGTGTGAGACAAGAGATGCTGCCATCACACTAGCACAGGCTTCCCAACTTTCTGCAGTCGCTTGCTCACCATCCGCAAAATCAGCTATCCCTTTAACAATGAGCCACTCGAGCTGAGAATCAAATGCAGCTGTGAAAACACCTGAAATATGGAATACAGTTAGGAAGTATATAGTCTTGCGAATTAAAGAAACTAAAAAATTAATTGCCTTGCGTATAAACGCATGTGTAAATTTTTATAAACGCATGTGTACATCTTTACTTTCCAATAATTTTTGACGATTTTACTAACTTTCACAAAAAATGTTTTTCTGATTACAACCTGGAAGTAAACCAACCAGAGACAAGAAAACGCCAAATCAAGAGATGTAAGACCCCGACGACAGCCAAGTACGCCAGATTATGATTTTCACGCCGTTTCTTTTGATTCGCTAACTGCAATCTTTCTTACAATGAATATGTTTTATTCAGTTACGTTATTGTTATAAGCGAAAATTCCTTTGAAGTTCCGTTAAGGTATATGCAAGTTTGCAGCTATAAAGCTCCGCACTCTTGATCGAAAGCTGTTGGTGTCGAACGTCTCCAGACTATCCCAAATCAGACTTAAAACGACAGAGACAAATGTTCCCCTTTTTTTAGCGATTACATGTGCGCCTCCTGATTAATTTTACTCTATAATTGTTGCGCGAAAATGGCGCCAAGTGTATATCAGTTATTGTAAACACCTAAAAATCCAATATCCAATAACTCCAACCGCTAATACTTAAGGTAATTACGATGCAGGTATTCAAAATAAATCAGTATTTTCGTGGCTCATTCAATAGCCTACGTGGCAGGAGCCAGGTAGTTTTTTTGGTCCGTTTTTTTTTAGAGCGCGCGAGTGAAAACACGCGAAGGCCGGGAAGAGGACGGCCTTCACGCCTTTTCTCCGGTCGTACGCGCGCATCCTCCCTTCATTCTAAAAAGAAAATGGCGCCTGCAATACTCTTTCAAAATCTTTTAGTTATGCATGTATCCCACAACAGGTGTCAAAAAGCCTACCTGCTGAGACTGCAAAGCAAAACGGCTAATAGTCGTTTTTCGAATTAACAATTACCGCTAACTTACAAACATTAACGACACATTCAAGCAGCGTTGGCCTCGGCATAAAGTAAAATATTCACAAATTTAGGCAAGTAAGTGTAAACACGAATAAACAGAATAATAAACAGGTCTTCTTCACGTTGGAATTTGTGAACATAATTTCTTCTGGTGGAGGCTAACCTTGCAAAAATTGCGTCTTCACTTCTTTTACTCAGCGGACATAGCGAACTCAAAACTGGACTCCAGGGTATTTTAAACTGAAATATTAATCAATCCCAGCAATGAAGGTAATTTTAAAGCACTCTATGGTACTGTTAGTCGAACCTTTATGACCGAATTACAACTGAAGGATCTAAAGCTACCAACATAACCTTGTGTTCTTGTGGCGTAGGCTAGCCTACGTACGAGCAAACTCTCCTATTTGGGCGAGCGAAGCGATTCGCGAGGGGCCGGCCCCTTTTCTCTCGCGTGCCTCTCACGCGTCTACTTTTCACGATATCCCCTAAATGGAGAGCTTGCTCGCAGCCTAGGTGTGGGCTTGAAGCCTTTATACGACAAAGTTAATTGAAATAGCTGTATAAGAACGCTATTGTTCAAAGCTAGCGTGACATGCACTCACCTTCGCCCTCCATCTCTACTCCTGCCGCGAGGGGGTGGCGGTCGACAAGTTCCTTTCGACGCCATTGAGCTCTGATCTGCTCTGGGCCACTTAAGAACTCGCCACTGCAGTGAACTTTGATCTGACGATCTTCTGGGTTCTTTAAAGGTGCCTGCCATCCATCAGCGCAGTTCGAGATTATTTTTGAGAAAAGCCTGCTCACGTGACTACTCATGCCAGCTGACTGCTCTTGGTCGCTTGTCACCACTTTGGATGCATATGTTGTTAGTTTGGCTGATACAACAACGTCCCCTAACTTGGTTTTGTCAGGATTGAGACCACTGCATACCCCAACAGATATCACGGCCTTGGGTTTTAAAATAAGGGCGGCATCCTTGACGGTAATCAGAGAGCTGCTTGGACCAATGGAACCTTCATTACATCTTAGCAGAGCAACTTTTACTTTCTCTTCATGAATTTGAACGTTGTTGAAGTAAACGTAACCAACATCCCTGTAATAATATCTGTAGGGATCTTTTAGCTCATTGTAACAGGATAAGAACTCACAGTCCTTAACGGTTAACAGTAGAACATCAACGGGTAGATCTGGCTGTTTCAATGTTGTTGTAACATCTTTTATGGATGGAAGACCAACAGCCAGCTGTGGTGGGCCAGCATCGCTGTCCTTTAAATCAAAGCTACATGCCTTCTTTGAAGCTACTGACATGTCAGTTTTCGGCTAAATTGCACTGGAGACATAAAAAGAAAAAGTATAACACAATTTAGCCTGGCACTATACACCCATTTTTATAACAAACTTTTTCTAAGAATGTGGAAGTAAAAAATTATGAGTTTAAGAACATTACTTAGTCAGGCTAAGGTTTATATAGTATCATTTTACATCGTCTTGGTTAAACAAGCAATGTACAAAAATTATCATACCGTACACGGAATAACCGTTTTAAACTTAAAAGTACAAGACGGTGACAAGAACTACAGTTACAGTTGGAATCGCATGCTGTAACTAGAGATTACTCTAATGCATATTCCATTGCTCTGCATCAAGATTAAATCCAATCAACAAGTACAGTAAAATGGTTTAAAGGAAGATTAATTACATTCGTAGTCCACCTTATGATTGACTGAGTTAATTCACCTCCCCCCCGCCAAAAAAAAAAACAGGGGGGAAAGACACAAGCAAAGATACAAGCTAATTAGAACTTTCAGTTCTTGCGAAGCCTTGGCTAAATAAACTGACATGTAATGCAACCCCCTGAGACAGCAAGAGAGTAGACTCAGCACATGAGCTTTGTCTCAGTGAACAGTGAAAGGGACTCGCCAAAAATCTGTGCATTGTTTCTGCTAATCTGTGCAATGGCAAACATTTGAAAGAAAAGGAAAAGGGAAAATTGGCTTCGTGAAAATGTAAAGAGTGTGGATGCCCTTCATGTGGTTGTCTCGCCCACAATCTCTATTTTCTATCTCCCTTTCAAATGCTAGACACGCGGGCTATGTGTTGTCTGGTATAGAAACAATGCCTACTGTATTCAATCTAGGTTTTTACTGCTGCAAAAGGAAGCTAAAACTAGACAATTAAAAGCATTGAAAAATATACTTAAAGTCAATTAAATTGAAAACAAGAACATTTCAGCTTCTTTATGCCAGGGAGAACAATTAGGCATTAACTTAATTAAAATTTCTCAAGAGGCCAGGGGAAGTGGGGGGGGGGAGGGAGGGGTGGTTGCAGGTTTTGACCAAGATGCCAACAAATGCATGACTTCAATAGGAATTAGTTATTTGGTCATTTCTTTTGCAATTTAATGAGCCACCCCAGAGTCCACAGAAGTACATCACACACAATATGAAATGACACTTTTAAACTAAGCCTTTTCAAATGATATTCAGTGCACTCTCTGGAGGTGCCTACAGTGTATTGAATTTCTGTTATCCACCTCTACAGTCTATTAGAACATAGCTGTCTCTAAAACCCAAGTAGAAGGTCTTCCTTAGGCAGGGGGTTAGGGGAGAGCAGATTGTACAAAGAAATTGAAGACTAAGTTAGTAGCTCTTTTCCTTCTGCAATGGAAAGAAAGGAGGATAAAAATAAGGAGAACACACTTGTCAATCAAGCAAAGTCATGCCAAATGCAAATTGCACAATCTGCACTGGACAAAGAATCAGTGCAGCCCCTTTCATAGCTGACAAATTCCCAGGAAAACATTTTGTTTGTGTCCCTTTCTCTTATCTACCAGGCAAAAATGATATTTATTTACTAGGTGTTCTGTACTTTTAAAAAGTAATTTTATGAGATCCTGTAATCCATGATGTATGATGAAGATTTAATGGATAGCACACAAAAGAGGTTGCAATGGGATGCAGAGGGCAGCGGCTAATTACATGGCACAAACGTTCAATATCAATTGACTGATGAAAGTTCAAGATGTAGAAGAATAGATCAGGTACAATTCCAAAGATAAATACAATTCTTCTTCTTCTTCTTCTTCTTCTTATTATTATTATTATTAGATTAATTATCAATTTAATACAATCATTTTTTATTATCACAAAGACATACAGTTAAATAGCATAAACAAATTAGGCCAGTCAAGTTTTACTCTAGAACAAAAATCAATAATAATATACAATTGTAACCAAGTCTTAGTTTTAATTAACTTTAATTACTATTTAAACTACTGAATTATTGCAAGCCAGGTATTTGATTGTTTTGTATATTGTTTTGAATAGAACTCAAAGACAATATATAATAAAACCCTTACTTGAAGCTAAATTAAGAGCAAGGCAGGTGATTGATTGGTATTGTTTTAAATACCAATTGAGAAATTTATTCACATTCATGTACATCAAGAATCAACAGTCCAATTAATAAGGGTATGAATGGAATAAATTTACAATCATTGGAAATTACAATCTGTAATTGATAAAATTTGTTTAACGGAAAGTGAACTGTCCAGTGAGAGAGGTATATACTAGTTCTAAAATAGTTTTTCTTATAGAAGCATCAATAAACCATCTATGGCCTTTGTGCAGACTTTAGTTTTCAGGATTGTTACATCAGCTAATTGAAGTACACAGGCCACTGCAATAATTACAGTCATTTTTAGAGTTTTAAAATCTTTGTCTGGGTCATGAAGCCATATCGAGTGATACACTTGATATTATACAAAACTTAATTGGTCTTAAGTTTTTTGAATCTGTTGAACCCTCAGTAAAAGTCCATGAAAGCAAGAATAGAAAAATCAAAAAACAAATTCAAAAAAAAGAAAAAAAAAAGCATCTTTTTATTTATTTCCCAAGACCTTTACTTTTGGTGCTAGACTCACTCCAACAAAATGAGTAGCCTTTTGTAAGATTTGTTTCATACATGTAGGTTGTTGAGGAACTCTTCTTAATAGGGCCCTTTCCCTGGTCAATGACGTGCACTAATGTATATGTTCCTGGTATTACTGTCAACTATATACATGTATTTTTTATGGAAAACAACCATTAATCTACTCATGTCAACTAGTGACCAATGTCTTGCCATAGCTTTTCAAAACCAAAAGTATTTAATACTTTCAAATAAGCTTAAATATTTTTATAGATACCGTTAATCCTCTACTAACCCCCCCCCCCATCATATAGTGAAGACCCCCTTTCTTTAAAGCACCCTCCTCTCCCCTTCCCCCTTATTCTTCACAACCAAAGTAAAAAATGATAGACTGTATTAATTCATCACGACTGTAACACTTCATGTAGACTGATCCAGTATGTTTGATTCAAGTGCTGGAAGTTCAAATTTGCTGTTGTTCTTCAGCTGCATGATCTTTTCTTTTTGTGAACTGTATGTTCTTTATGAAGAATAATGATGCCATCTTCTCTTTGTTTGGACAAGCAGTGTGGCACCCTGTCTCACCACTAAATTAAATTAGCCCATCCTTTCTTTTACCTTCCCCCTAAACCTGATTGAAAGAAATAAGCCCTTGGGAGGCTAAATAGAGGATTTATGGTAATTAATAATTAACAAAATGTCTACAGAATATATTGAGAAGAAACACTGCATTTCCGCGCATCAGTAATACTTAGTACTATGTACATTTGTCATACAGAAAGAAAATCTTTGTTCTTGTAAAGAAGCAAATGTTTCTCTGAGTCTTACAGGGGTGGTGTGGGGGGGTTCAAAAAATATGCAATCTATTTTTTAAAGCACGGTGCTTTGCTATTTTCTGTCTGGAAGGTTAAAATAGTTTTAGTTTTATCAGGAGGCAGAGTTTGTTTATAGGCTTTGGGCGAGGAAGACACAAAGGAAAGTTCACAGTTGAAAATTTTAGTTTACACAATTTGTATGTTGAACAATAAAACAAATTGAATTAATTGCAAAAATTATAAAGAATCAAGCATAGGAGGAGAAAAAGAAGAAGAAGGGAGGAGGAGGAGGACAAAACCTCACTACTTTATGTAGAATCTCCATGTTGTTTTACAAGGAACTCCAAATTTGTCTTTACCTGGGATTAGCAGGTGGATCTGTTGATGATACTACTTAACATTTATATACCAAGTGCCCGCTGGCCCCTGGCACATTACTTTTGCTCCTTTTAGGTGACTGTGGCCTGTGTTGTAGACACTCTGAACCTCCTGTACAGAGTATCTGTGAAATAGTGCACAATATTGTGTTCGAATCCCACAGAGTCGCAAGGACATATGCAGGCATTTTTGATTGGGTAGTTTCTAATGCAGTTTGTGATACTAAGTCCAACTTGAAATAAGTGTTCACAGGCCACTCATGACTCATCGTGCATGACAGTGTGAAACATGACCTTAGAGTCAGCTTGAACAACAGGAGGTTTTTCTTGTTTTCTGACAGGATTTGATCTCAAATACAGTTTACTAATGGTTTTCTTTTACTTCTGTTAAAGCCTTAGGCCCGGTTCAGACGCCGATCTTTTCACGAGCCAAACCTAATACATTGAATTAAGTACATGAAAAGTTCAGCGTCTGAATCAATTAGGAACGCCTATTTCAATTTTGAACAGCTCAGCTTTTCTTTTTGCCTAGCCCAGCCGGGAATTTCGCCTTTGGAGTGACTTTGGAACGGCTTTGATTCAGACACTGAACTTTTCATGTACCCAACCTAATGCATAAATTATTATAATGTATTTTGTATAAAGTTTGACCGAAATGAGCATTTTTCACCTTTTGAACTTAGTTCAGCTGCAATTAAGAATGGCGTCTGGTCAGAATCAATTCAGCCTGTCCAAATAATTTGGGTCGGCCTTAATTCGAATGAAGTTCAGCTCACGCAAAGAACAGCATCTGAAACGGGCCCTAGGCTTTTATTATGGCTAAACAACCTTAGTTTCTTTGGTTTTCTCCAAAATTCTTGGACCTGAATAGCTGCATGTGTGTACAAACATAGTTTTTTTTGTCTTTGAACATCACGATTTCCTGATTTGTTTTGATGCTAGAAATATCTTAGTACATATGCAGAATACACAGCAGTGCATCTGTAGTAATCGGAAGACATTGGAAAGCCAGAAGCCAGTAGGTAGACTTTTTCCAAGCTTGTTCCCGGTTTCTGGCGGTTAGGTCGTTGGTCGGGGAAATGGACTTTTCTCACCCGCAGTGCACTATATTTGACTGGCCAGTTTCGCGGCAGGCACTTGGCTTTGAAGTGAAGACAGTGAAGGAAGCTTAAGAAATGAACGTACACAAAGCGACTGATGCTGGTAAAAAAGGGAAACTTACAGTAATCAAAAGATAGAAGGGTTCGCTAGTGGTCAAGATTTCTTAACCCTTTAACCAGTAAATTTCCTGACAAGAATTTTATTTCGGGGATTATGCTTGTATTTTGACTCCAACTTCAGTGTTTCAGTTCCTAACCTCCATAACCTATGCAGCAAAATGTTCAGCAATAAACAGCCTATCAAATGAACTAAAATCATGGACAAAAGTCTTGGGACACTTTTGCATTTCTGGGGCATTTTCCAATTCGTAAGCTTAAGGTCCAACCTCTCCCCTCACCCCACAAACAATGTTGGACGCGTGTATCCAGAATTTTTTCCTAGTTTCAACTTTGTATAGGGTGGGGGGAGGGAGAACTGCAAGAAAATTTCGAAAAGGATGCACTGTTTTAAGAGGGAACTGAGAAATGACAGAAAAATATGAATATTGCAGTACTGTCTCAAGGACTTTTGTCCAGGATTGTAGCCTGTAAATAGACATGTTTTAATCCAATTTCTTTTGTGATTTTTTCAATTTCAAAATTGAAAGTGACTACTGGAGAAAAATTGCTTCTCTTCTTTCTTCGTAGCAACTAGCCATTACAATGCAACAATTAAACAGTCTCAATATCCCTACCAACCATGGTGCTTCGGATTCCCAGCTTTTGTTTGGTTGTAAACCTTTTTTTGGTCACAAAGAAAGCCTTGTTTCTACAGCTCATTGAAATAGATGAAACATTCAAGGGAATTTGTCTCAACAAAATTGCTCAAAGTGGCAGAAATGAATGCCAAATGCCAGTCGATAGAAGAAACACTATTTGGGCTTCATGTAAACCCCAATGAATCATCCAAGGCCCCAATATACTGCTCCCCTGATCCCCCAAAGCAAGGGAAATCTGATCGTACATACATGTACGATTGCCGGTTAAAAGGTTCATGGTTGCGCCAAAAGGCTCAGGGAAAAGCCTAACATTTCACATCGCACTGTTCGAAAACACAAGCTTAAATAAATAGCAGAAAAATCTGGCCATGATAGATATGATAATGTTTGGGTGGACTTTACGTTGATTTCACCAAGGGAAAAGCCGTTGAGCAGTGATGCTGGTTTTGTTGGATATGAGGGCTTTTCGTTTGCTGCGAAATTGATCACTAGAGTCTTTAGTTGGCCTTTTGACTAACTCCATGGAGCCACATTAAACCTTGGCATATTTCAGTTTTAGAACGGACCTCTGAGAGCCCGTGGTACAGTAAATGCCAGCCCCTTTTTCCACAAGGCAAATTGCTCTCTTATTCAAAGACCTTGTTCACTATGTTTTGGGTGCTTCTGGCACAGCTTTCACAAATAATTTCCGTTGATCAGCATTTTTATCCAGATTTACGCCAACAAGGATTTCCAAAGTTCATGCGAGCTGGTGACTTAAGCAAACTCGAAATTTCAAAGACTTTCTACACATATTAGACAAGAGTTGCTTCTTTCAATTTTGGAGAGATACAGACCTGGAAAACAATTTTTTTTGAGGTCAGGTCACCTCTATTTTTACACCATTCAGTCACCGACAACTGTTTATTTCAGTGCGGTGTCAAACAACCTATCAAACTGATGTCATGAACAATTTTTTTCTCACCAACATTATACAAAAAGAACTCAATCTTCTGCACACGGAACAAGTTCACTCATGACTTCGTCCCTCACTTTTGCTCGTTTTGTGAGCGTTTTATCGCGCTTCGGTGCTCACTCATGCAGTCGACTTGTGGCAAGTCCAACCAGTTCACAAATTTACAAACACATTCTGGCCTTGAAGGAATTCGCTCAAACTACATGTATTTTTCGATTCAGGAAGAAGGCTTTCCAGTTTGAACTTCTCTTCTACTGTTTACTGTTTGCCAACCTCCTTCTGTGAATTTTGACATGTCTAACCTGAGCCCAACCATCACACACATATAAGAATTGGACCAATCATGAGACATGTACCGCCAATCAGAAATGATCAAGTATATCCTTGTGACTCTGCTGGATATCAGAACAAGCTTTTGTGCACTAATTCACAAACGGAATATACCAATGGTCTAGATGATGACTGTGTTGGCCAGCTTCAATGCAGGCTAGGTGACTGCAGAAATCTTATTTTTTTCATAGAAATGATATGTTGGGCACCCTGGTTTTCACAAGTTCAGAGTACTGGGCTTCTTTCAGTTTTTTTAGAGCACAGTCTTATGTACTTGTGGTGGTATTATTTTCTAATTTGCTTTGTTTCATACTCATGACTTATTCAAACATTATCATACTCAAAACTAGTAGGAAAAAAAATTAATTAAGGATAAAACTGAATTGAACCACAACATACAATGATGTCCTCTCATTAATTTGCTACAGTCATTTATACATAATTATGATAATACAGACAGTACCATAAACAGTAGCTTACAAGGGCGTCTCAGTGCTTTAGGAAAACCAAAATCCAATCCAGTTCAGCAAGTTTCGTTTTATTCTGGCAAAGTAAACAAAAATGGCACCATTTCAGAACATGATAAAAAAGATGAAAATAAATAACTTAAGTTTTATAACCACACTAAGGCTACAATCTGTGACATTAGAACTTGGGTCAATTAAAGGAATAACATTGACATGTTGTCCTCGACCTCCTTTTCCCTGTCCCTTTCAATGTTGGCCTCGAACTTGGCCAATTCCACCGAAAAAACCATTATAAAACAACATTGGAAGAGAGAAAGACAGGTATCAGAGCAGTGTGACCCAAGTTGAGTGTCCTTGATTGTAGCCTCTAACACAGATGTTCTTTGACAATTTCAGAATGAAACTGTTTTCTCTATCTGCACGAGCTAGGAAGAGCTAAGCACCGATACCATGCGCGCAGAGCTTTCTCTCTTGCACGACTTTTCTGGTTTTGTTAAGGAAGTCGTTCGCGTAGCTTGTCTATCGTGTACTTACTTTGTTTACGCCCCAGGAGAAATGTAAATAAACCAACTTTGCGACAGACAAGTCACGCGAACGACTTCGTAAACGCTAAACCCATGCCAGCGAGAAGGTAAGAGCCGAGGATCTGATCAATTACCCTGCGAACAGAGTCTCCTTCGATCTTCCTAGATAAGTCGCAAGACCAAAGTGACTCTGCTAGCATCGAAAAGGTTATTAACCCGGTTTCGAACGTGCATCCGAACTGATCTTAGTGCTGATCTGAAAGAAGTGATCAATCCAGATTTTAAATAAAACTTTCAAAAAGCAAACCTGTGCATCCATGTACCACAAATTCCGATAAACGAGTAAAGACAGTGCTTCTTGAAAGTCACTACAAATGATGACAAAAATGTCGGTCTGTCTGTGCCTAAAACGAAAGAGGAACTGAGCGAACTGAGTGTGTCAGTGGGAATAAGGCCTGGCTGCCCAGCAACGTCGGGGAGGTGTTGGTGCCGAGGAAGAAAGAGGGAGGAGAGGGAGGCCAAAAATAGCGTGAGAATCGAAACGGCGCGTGTCGCCTGTCGCGGGTAAATTTTGGCTGGTGTCGGGTAAAATGTCGCGGGTCAGAAATAACCCACATTTTTTTAACAAGCTTTTGAGAGAACTTCCCACTTTCTTCCGAATACAACCGTGTTACTTAAGCGCAAACGTGGACGGAAATCTAGGAGAAATTTATTACCGCTTCGGATCAAAGCAGCCTTTTATGGGTCGCAGTTCGGAGACAATGTTTTGAATATCCAACTTGAAGCGTTTTATAAAGCTTTCATGGATGGTACAGGGAAGTGTGGAAAAGGGCCATCTCTTCTAGAAAAACAAGACAAAGCTACAAGAAAACAGATCAGTAGAGCTAGGCAGCTCGAAGTGGACCTCATCAGAGAAGATCTCTGCGACGCAGACCATATATCTGCTTTGAATTCCAAGACCAAGATGCACATGTAAACCCCAATCCGTATGATAGGCACAATGCTAGTAGCTACTAGTGTCGGTCAATCGTCGAAGTCTACGGGAACACGAAGTGGTCGTTACCGACCGAATCGTGGCAAAACCTTTGTCGATTGGCTGCAAACGGCAAAACGAGAGAAGAAAGATCTCAAGATAAAATCAGTACACTCCTCCACAGCCTATAATAGACTGACCTACATCGTAGTAAACATTAGAGAAAAATCTGATCATAAAGTAGAAATCGGAAAAAGTCTCTTTTGTGATTGTGAGGTTTTTACGAAGAATTCTGAAAAAGAATTATGGAAAAATATCATATGGACATTACGATACTTAATATTTGTCGACTGCCGGAAAACAGTAATCTGTTGCAGCAGTTATGCATCAGTCAATTCCAGCTGCGCCCAGCCCCCCACCTCCACCCCCCGGGCTGACCTCAGGCATTAGCATTTTTTGCCTTCTATGGCAAATTCCCGGGAGTGGGGACTCTTGAGCTGTCGAATCCCCCGGGGTGCGGACGAAAAAATAGGGCAAATGCCCCGTCCTCCGTCAACTCTGCAACATTTTTCAGTGATCACACTGTCGAGTAGTGCGATTTTAAGCATTTTAATTAATGTGCGATTTTTTGTTTCAATTAACGTTGTCTTTGTAAAAGTGCTATTCTAATTAAGACTTCACGTCGTGACGACATCAGTTTATGGTTTTTGCCCCCGTAGGGATTTCGCCCAGAGGCGAAATCCCGTTGAGGCACCCTAGTAACTCGCGCGTATATTAAGGACAGTACTTACAGTTCAAATATACAGTGAGTGTACTAGAAAAACTCTCGATTTGCTCGAACTGGGGCCGCGAGGAATCGGTAGGTAATGATGACGTTTCTATTGTTTGCGCCCGCAAGTACGAAATGGATAGGATGACGTAAAGACAGAAAATCCTGAAGGGACCGCTCAGGTAGATTTTGTGACATTTATTGTGCAGATACTTTTTTGCGTTACTCTTTTGCGTTACGCAGAGACATTCTGTGGAGCAGTTGTTTTGAAAGTTATGGACTAAAAGACACTCGTTAAGCGCAGGGGAGGTTATAAGGTGCGTTTAGCTTTGTAGATATATAAACACTTGAAGAGTTTGCCAGACACGAGTTCACAAATCTTTGATTTATATTGGAAACCTTGCCAGACACTCTTTCTCTCTCTTTGACCGGAATAAGAATCAGCCCCAAACAAGAAAGACGAGTGAACAACGGCTATCAATAGCACATTAATGGACATTTACAGAAATTCGTCGGCAATCAAATTCTGTGCTGACTTATTCCCTGCTCACAGATGTCCTTCCTTTATAAAGTTTCAAGTAAGACTAGAATGCGCTAGCGTGAATCGATCAAAAGTCCTTTTAATTTCTAAGGCTTACTTTCCAGCAAATAAAATGAACTGAATGTAAAAAGGGAAAGAGAAATAGCGAAAAATTCAACTTCTAATTAAATCTTTTCTAATGGTTTAGAATAAACTTTTCTCGAAACTGAGAATGTTTTGATCAAAGCTGCGGTAAATCGACCTGAAACTGTGCATGGAACCTTCATTTCCTGTATTTATCTCAGCTATTGTGTGGAATATGTGTGAAAATCTTCATTATGAATCGGTATATTTCACAGGGGCACCCAACGACAATTTTCGGAAGAATATCTGTTCGGAAGACGATTTGAGATCTAGAATTTTCGAAACATTTGTTGTAAAATTTCTTGCTTGCCTGCCTCTCCTAGGATTTTCGAACATCCAAAAAATGGTATATTTGCCTATTTTTAACGGAGTTTTACCCTAAAAAGGTCACCTAGAATTTTCGGAAGCCTTTTTTCTGGCTGAAATTTTCGAAAAGGTAAGTTTTGATCCCTATAATTTTCGGATCACTAGACTTTCAGCTAGGAAATCCGAACAGATGAAAAATTTTTAGGGGATAAAAATATGCCTATATCTACCGTTTAAATACTAAAATACGTTTAACAATGCTATGTTTAAGTGGTTTTCAACTATATTCTCGTTGGGTCCCCCTGATTTCAAAGAGCTACACAACCAGCAAGAATACTATTGACCGACAATATACAAAACGGGGGCAGCTGTAGTGTCAACTATTACTAGTAGTATTGATGTGAAGTATACGAAAATAATTCATTTCGAACTGCGGTTGTAGATGAAAGTGAAGAATGATCATCGCAGTAAATTTTCCAATTTAAGCAATTGGAAAGAAGAAGCCTGAAAAAAATCAGGGCTTCAACGGGATTCGAACCCGTGACCTCCGCGTTACCGTACGCGGAGGTCACGGGTTCGAATACCGTTGAAGCCCTAATTTTTTTCAGGCTTCTTCTTTCCAATTGCTTAAATTGGAAAATTTACTGCGATGATCATTCTTCACTTTCACTAGTAGTATTGTTATAAATTACGTCGATAGCTCCCGATTTTGCTATGTAATTCTGGCTTAATAAGCAATGAAAGAGATGCATGCATCAAATCGAGAACATGCCTTTACAATTTTTCCTTCTCCTTGACAGATGAGCCAATCTGCTCGTTTTTCCATTAAAATCCTCTGTGTAGGTATATTCTGATAGGAAACCGCGTGCCTGTCAAAAGGCTGGCCCCGGGGTTGACAAATGCTTGGCCCCGAGCAGCGCAAAATTTGCAAATGCCCCTCCCCGGAAGTCCGGGACTGACAAGGCGGGCAAATGCTCCGCAGCAGCCCGGGGTGGTGGGGGGGGGAGTGGGCGCAGCTGGAATTAACTGATGCATTATTTCTAACTGATGACGAGGCCTTGACTTGACTATTGTTGGAAATGCGTACTTTGTTGTTATACCGGAGAACCTTGTATTTAAAACGACCACTGAAAAAAGTAGAAGAGAAATAATACTGGATCCCCTTTCAAATGATGCTCGAAACAAACACGAACAGGTCTGGACTTAAGAAAAAAAGAACAAATAATAAGCATCACCTTTGACCAGTCAGGATGAGAAAATTTGGCCCTTTTTATGGGGTAAAAGATACGCATGGATGGACGAAAGCGATTCCGCTATGTTTGGACCACAGCAATATTTTTTGAATAAGGGAGAGTACATATTTTAAAAAAGGAGGGTACGTGTGATCGGAGACTTTTAAGTCGACAGGTTGTTTGGTGATTTGCATGCTTATTGTTTGTTGAAACAATAGGCACTGTAGGGAGTTGAGTTGTGTCTCGAACACTGTACAATTTTCTCCAGGCATTTTATCCATCCATTTATTAACGCAATTTGCTTTTCTAAAGCAGGATTGAAAAAAAAACCTAAATTATAAACGACGCATTTAACTGAACAATCAGATTGTCTTACAAAGCTGCTAAAGGAAAACCTCTGGTTTTATTATGATCGTTGATCACCGAACAAACAGCTCACAAAAGTGTAGTAATCTGAACTATAGTCGGCGACCGCAGCTATTGATATGGAAACTAGCTTTTTATACTTTGGTTAAGAATTAAGTCTACCTCAGCGACTGCAACATGATTCGTTGAAAAGTTGTTTTGCAGTTAATCGTTATGATCGTTGAACTTTCTTTGTCATCAATCGTAGCTACCCTGTATGAGGAATGAGTCTTTATCAGACAGAACGTATCTTTTCCAGCCCATGAACATCTTAAATTGTTTCAATTAAGCGGCGCGCTAGCAAGAAGGTTATTTTGTATTCCTTGATACTTCGTAGTCCGCCATTTCATCTTATTCAATTGCAAATTACTGAATAAACAATTCTCACAAAAACAAAAAGAAACTATTCAATTAGTCTGGTCTGATTTGATGACGTTAGTCTTTCCTGATTGGCTGACACCTCCTCCATTGTTCTTTCTCTATATATTTGCGATACCACCCGGATGGTTTGGGTGGATACGTAAACCACTGCACAGTAAACCTCTCAATACTTCATCGCTATTCCATCAGCCAGTTCGTTACAAATTCAAATAGTGAACCGTTGAATTCCAATGACGCCTTCTCCCAGCCTGGCGAGTCGTGCATTCGATTACCCTCATTAACTCAGGGCTGCTGAATGTGATTATAAACAAGTAAAGCTATTCATCTGTTATTTTGTACTGTCAGTGTAATACCAGGTCATTTGTGAGAAGTAAACTAGTTTTAACCTTGTGCGACAGCTAAGCGAATGAACTAGAGGATAAAGCACTCAAAAAGGAAATCGCTAAGGCAGTTAAGCATCGTGTGTTTATGACTTAAAAAATGTATCACGCGGATGGTACTTACAGTCTAAATCTTTTGCATTTCTACATGATAGGTAGTAAGGGATATTCAAATTAGAGTTGCTTGCAATCGAGGTCAATAGCAAAGTGCATCCTTCATAAATCAGAAAACACACTTAACCAAGGCAGTCTTCTAAGTTTTCAAATATTTGCCCCAAAGCATGTAGCTACAGGAGAAGCTGTAAAGGTATC